AGAGGGAGGTGCCAGGGTGGCCAAGAAGCTGTCACTGCCCACCCTCGATGCAGCACCGGTGCCAGGAGAGCAGGGCTCAGAAGGAAGTGGAAATGAAAAGTCCTTCTAGATTTACCATGTGCACAGAGGGACACAAATCTAAGACCTGGTGATTAAACTTGCAAATTTTTGCACAAAGATGCTACTCTTTGATAGAGGAAACAGGGATGTTTGACTTCTTTTCTTTGGATCAGACAGCCATTGCTACAATAATGCTGCAAACACTCCAGATAAGAGTGAAGTCAAGAAGAGCATTTTTTTTTTCTTCCACATATCCTCTGTCTGTCTTCTTCCTTGCAGCTACACCAATGTCCAGGCAGCCTTTGAACATGCTGTTGGCCTCGCATTTTTGGAGAATCTTTAGATCACATTGCACAGGCTCGGGTGAGCTACACAACACAATGAGTGGGACACAATTTAAGAGAATCATTGAAACAGAGTATATTTTTAGTCTCAGGCACAATACATCATGTGGCAAATTTGATTAATATTCTATTCTGTACCTTCCAGAATCATCCTGGGGAAAAGGCTAACCTGCTTACCCAGGTCCTGGACCCCTGCAGGATATACAAAGGAGCAATAGCTAAAATTAGGGCTCTTCCTTCCGGACGGGTCCAGCCACAAATCCCTGTAGACCATCAGCCTGATGGTGCCGTCCAGTGGGCTGAGAGCACAAAATGCAGAATCCATGTTTACCCTTCACTTCTCACACTTTCAGAGGGAATGTACATTGGTCAGTGTGGGCTGGGTTATGCTGCTGTAAGGAAGAAGTACAAGCATAGGCCACAGTGGTGGATCCCTGGGAGTGTTCAGCTCTCCTCTGCTGCAGTAAGTACACCGAGGGCAGGCAAAGGGCAGGACGCCCGTCTCCCTTTGTCCCCAGGCAGGGGACCCATTGCCAATGTGGCAGGCATTCTGAGTCTTCCTGCTCTGCAGACCTTGCTCTCCCTCATGTGCGTCAGCCCAAGGCTGACAAGAACTCCAGGTGGGTCCATAAATCTGAATGAACTCTTCCATATTTATTTACCTCTCAAACAAAATATTTTTTGTTGGTTCTTTTGTGGTTTTAAAATAAGATAGTCGTATTTCTTAGGGCTTATTACTAATTAGCACCCTAAACCCCAAAAGTCCATCTTTATTCACTTGACTTTTAAAAAAATTTTAGTAATTTTTTGTTAGTTTCATGAGTGTATAACACACATACAGAAAGATACACAAGGTGAATAAGTGAACAGATGAATGAATTATCATAAAGACACACATGGAAATAACATGGGGATTATCAATATTCCATCCCTCAAATTAAGAAATAGAACATTCCCAGCCCAGTGTCCCTCCCTTATGTTCACTTTCAATAACCAGCCCCATCTTTCCACCATTCTGACTTTGAACATCATAGATTCATTTGGCCCATTTTAGAACCTCCCATAAATGGAGTCATACAGTTTACATTGTTGATGCCTGACCTCTATCATTCTGTATTACATTCTTGAGCTTTGTTTATGTTGGTGTGAATAGTTTTGATTTGTCCATTTCCATCACTGTGTGAGAACCCACTGTATGTGTTCCTCTCTTGTTGGACTTTGGGGCTGTTTTTGACTATTATAAATACTGCTCCTACGAAAATTCTAGTGGGTGGGTGTCTTCTGATGAAGCATAACATGCTTCTGCCAGGTATGTACCTGCGAGTGAAATCCCTGGGGATCAAGATATAGCAGGGCACATCAGTTTCTAGAGTGCTTGTGCCCATTTACACTCCCATTAGCTGTGTATGAGAGGAATCAGAGCTCCAAATGCTCGCCAAACCTGGTCTGGTGTCTTTCACCTGAGCTATACCGGTGGCTAGGGAGTGGCGCCTCCTTGTGGTTTAAGGTTGTATTTCCCTGACGACTGAGGAGACTGAGCACCTTTTCTCACACATACTGGCCACGTGCAGGGCTTCTTTTGTGAAATACTTAGTCATGCCAATGGCCCATTTTTTTTTTTTTTTTATCAGGTTTTCTCTTTCTTTTTCTTTTCACTATGTAAGAATGCTTGGTGTTTTCTACATATGAGTGCTGGGTGAGGTATGTATCTTGAAGACACTTCTCCCTCTCCACGACTTACTATTTCCCCATCACCTCTTGTTTCCCCATTTTAACTAATAATTCAAACAGAGCTATTTTTCCTGCATTGGAACGACCCATCATGGGTCTCTGTGCATCAGGAGTGGTCTGATGTTCTGGCCCTAACTTTTCAGCTCAGCATTCAGTGTCCTTCAGATTAGTTTATATAGAGGTGGGTCAGCAGGGTCCTCCTCCTGAATAAAGCAATGCCAGAGTCCACTGAAACATATAGCTTCTTACATGGGACCATGGTGGGAAATATTCTTTTACTCAGAGGTATCAGCCACAATTCATATCAACATGCCCTAAATTCAGCCGTCTTCCATGATATTTCCACCTCCATTTCAATCATATTTTTTAGAGAGTGGACGGGAGGTGGAGAGACACACACAGAGAGAGAAACATCGAAGTGAGAGAGACACATCAATTGGTTGCTCCCCTCACTGGCCCTGATCAGGGTCGGGATCAAGCCTGCAACTAAGGTACATGCCTTTGATACAGAATTGAACCTGGAACCCTTCCGTCCAAGGGCCAATGCTCTACCCACTGAGCCAAACTGGCTAGAGCTGGTCTTCTTTTTTAAACACAAAGGGGCCTGAGAGCTCCCGCTGAAGGAAAGTGCATGCAGATGTGTGTCCTGGCCTTGGGGACAACCAAGGCTTCTGTTTCTCCCCAGGAAGCTCACAGTGTCAGCCTGGGTGCTGGGCTCAGGCCTTCCCCAGGCCTATTTAGATAGGAATGTAAGATACACATATTCCAAACGTGCCTGTGAGTGACTGTTTATTAAATGATACAAATATGCTCTCAGTACAAAACAAAAAGTCCCATCTTTGATTCCAACTCGGGGCTAGTCATTTTTCAATATCCAAGAAATGCTCCTCTTTGATGTTTGTCTTTCTCAACATTTGATGCTCGTTTTTCAACATCTCGCATCCATTGTTTTCTATTCTGCTGAGCAAGGCCAATGGGGAGTTATTTTTTATAAAACATGGGAGCAGGCGCCGGCGCCACACGCACTTTGATGTCATTGTTCTTCTGACAGCTCTCTCCGTGGAATTAAAAATTATTTGTGGTCTTGTCCTCATGTGGGACCATGAAGGAAATAAAACTATAAACACCACCTCTCACGGAACTTTCAAGTAGTACCGCCTGGGGAAGACCCTCCTGCTGCAGCCTCAGCAGAAACGCAATTGCTGCTCATTAAGGGACTGATTCATAGATTTGTTAAGGGGTCACTGTTTTACTCACGGTCTTCATAAGAGACCCATTGACAGCACAGAAGTAAAGACCCTCTATAACAACCTCCTAATGTGCCCTTTGACTCCCCCGCCCATTTTTCTTGTGTTTATTAAAATCATCAACTTTTCTTGAAGCTGGTCTGGGAGAGGGAGTCCTGAGAAGCCTTACAACACACCCAACAGATTCAGGGGGTGCACATTTTGGGGAGAAGTTTTATATAGCAAAGTTATATCATGAATTCTTAATTCAGTTGTAACTCTAGCAACTACCTATAATTGGAGATCAGTGAGGAATGATCCCCATGAACATTAACTTTGCCTTGGGCCATTTTAGTTAAAGCATAAATATTTTGAGGAAGGAACAGTTAGATGTTTTTAAAAGAGACGGGAGTAAGGAAGGGAAACTCAGCACGTGTGTGCGTGTGTGTGTGTGTGTGGTGTGTCTTCCTTTCTTCTCCTATTTACTTTCCTGAACCATAAAACCAGGGAAATGACCAATAGAAAAGAAAAACACATTTGAAAAATATACATTTAGTTACATTTCATTTTGAAAATGCATTATTTAGAAACAGAATACATTTGTTCTTATTTATATGCATGAATTGCAACCATCACACAAGCGATACCTGTTTGGAACATGAAATAAAACCCCATTACTGCTGAGGGTGGGGGACGGTACACTCTCTTCCAGAGGAGGCTGGGCTGGGTCATGGACATGGGCAGCATCCAGATTGATGCCTGGGGCCCAACCGACAGCACCATTTACTGGCTGCATAAGCTCAGGCAAGTTTTCAAACTCTCTGAGCCTAGGTCTCCTCATCTATAAAAGGATCATAATAGTACCAATCTCTTCTTTTTAAAAAAAATATATTTTATTGATTTTTTTACAGAGGAAGAGAGAGGGATAGAGAGTTAGAAACATCGATGAAAGAGAAATATCTACCAGCCGCCTCTTGTACACCCCCTACTGGGGATGTGCTCAAAACCAACGTACATGCCCTTGACCGGAATAGAACCTGGGACTTTTCAGTCCACAGGCCAACGCTCTATCCACTGAGCTAAACCAGTTTCAGCACCAGTCTCTTCTTTAAAATCTTTCTTCTTCAGTAGTTAAGGTTCTTAAAGCTTGTATATTTGAAGTGACCACACACTGTAGGTTTGATGTGTAATTTATCATTACTACTCATTTCTAAATCATTTATAAATTTACTTTGACATAGTTGATTTGCTCTTTGACTCAAAAGTATTTGAAAGAGTGCATTCAGCCCTAGTTGGTTTGGCTCAATGAATAGAGTGTCAGCCTGAAGACTGAAGGGTCCCAGGTTCAATTTCAGTCAAGGGCACCTGCCTGGGATTCGGGCTCCATCCCCTGTAGGAGGTGTGCAGGAGGCAGCCAATCAATGATTTTCTGTCATCACTGATGTTTCTATCTCTCTTTTCCCCCTCTCCTTTCCTCTCTGAAATCAATAAAAATATTTTAAGAAAAGAAAGGAAGAAAGAAGGAAGACCAGAACCCATCCATGGTCCAGTGGAGTCACTGTAAATACTACAGCATGGGCCAGCGGGGGCAGAAACCTGGAGACCTGTACAACCCTGACAGTAGCCCGCAGGCCAACACACAAATGAGTAGCAGCCCCGTCACGTCTCCTACCCAGTCTCCAGCACCCTCTCCTGTCACCGGCCTCAGCAGTGTCTGCACAGGACTCAGTCCCCTTCCTGTCCTTACACAGTTCCCCCGGCCCGGGGGTCCAGCACAAGTGATGGGCGCTACTCTCTCTTGGGCCAGCCATTACAGTACAATCTGTCCATCTGCCCTCCTTTGCTCCATGGCCAGTCGACTTACACAGTGCACCAGGGACAGAGTGGATTGAAGCATGGAAACCGGAGTAAGAGACAAGGTCTCAAATCTGCCTCCAACTGACCTGGGGACCACGGATGTCGTCCTGGGGCGGGTGCTGGAGGTGACAGATCTTCCTGAGGGCATCACTCGTACGGAGGCGGACAAACTCTTCACTCAGCTCGCCATGTCCGGTGCCAAGATCCAGTGGCTCAAGGACACTCGGGGGCTGCCTGCTGGGGGCGGGGGGAACAGTAGTGGGACTGCTGAGAATGGTCGCCATGCAGACCTTGCTGCCTTGTACACCATTGTGGCTGTGTTTCCCAGCCCCCTGGCTGCCCAAAACGCCTCCCTTCGCCTCAACAACTCCGTGAGTCGCTTCAAACTTCGAATGGCCAAAAAGAACTATGACCTGAGGATCCTGGAGCGAGCCAGCTCCCAATAAATCTGAGGGGAAAGGACTCGCACAGCAGGGGTGCGGGCAAGGTGGACAACTCCCTGGCAGACCATGGACAGAGAGAGAGAGGAAGGCGACAGACACTAACTTGGAGCCTAAGACAGTAGGGATGAAGATAGAAACAGACAGACACACTGGCACTGGACTCCTTACTCCCTGCCATGGGCCCCCTCTCCCTGGTTGGCCTCCCTCTGCTACCCTCTCCTTTCCAACCTCTCCTATCATTCTTTATCTCTCCTCCCACCATGAAATGAATTTCTCTCATATTTTTTGGTCAGGTAGAATTGGGAGGGTTCTACACTCCCTGATCTCCTAATTTCCTTACCATCCCAAGCTCCTTTTTCATTTTTGGTCTTTATGAATATATTTATATGGAAAGAATTAAGAAAAATGAAATTGATTTCCCTTTCTTCTCACTTTTCCCATCTTGTCACCCCAAGCCCCACAAAGGAGGCAGCCAAAGTTAAAACTTGGGCCTCTCCCTAACCCCCCAGAACACTTGTATATTGTTTGTTTGAGGTTCATGCTGCAGTAACAGACAGTATTTAATTGCACATACAGATGTTTGCTAGGTATATTCACTGTAAATTTTATTTAATCTGATTTTTTGTTTGTTAGGGGGGTTACTGGGGGAAGGTTGATTTTGTTTTTAAATATATATAAAAAATGTAAAAAAAAAAAAAAAAAAAAAAAAAAAAAAAAAAGAAGGAAGGAAAGAAGGAAGGAAGGAAGGAAGGAAGGAAGGAAGCATTCACCATGTCTCAGCACTTACAATTGGTCTGTTTTATTCATCTGCAGCCTATTTCTAGATTCAGTGCATTTTGGTAAAATAAGGGACCTGCAATCACATTTCCCTTTAGCTTATGGATAACCAAATTTTGTAAACATTCCATTGTTATTTGGGAGGAAAAGACCTTGTCTCTATAAGTAGGATACAAAATTCAATATCTACTAAAATAAATATGTTCATTGTAATGTACAAATCCCTTTCTCCCTTATTTATTTCTTGTCTCTATCTGGCAGATTCTGAGTTGGTGCATTAATTATTTTTATTCTTCCATTCTTATTGTGTTTGATCATTTCTCCCAGAAACTCTAAGATTTGTACTTTCACGGGTTTCAGGATATGCCCATTTGTGCATCAAACACATTCATGACTTTCCCCACGGAAGCATTTTTATGGAGGATGAGAATAAGAACCAGAGAGCTGTGCTAGCTTTTCCTTATTATGGAACAACTTTCCTGCCTCTGGTGTAACCTCTTTAACCACCAAATTTGGCCAAACCACACGTTGTGCGCACAAGTCAGTTTGCTCAGTAATTTCACTAATGTTCTCAGAGACTAGCTGGGATCTTTTCCCTGAATGCCATCCAGCCACTTCGTGGTGCTCGTTAACTCTTCCAAAGTATTAGTTTACAATTTCTTAAATGATGGGGTCACCATGACAAAATAGCAGGGTCTAATTTGTTCTCTACTTTTGGCGAGACTTACTCTCTTTCATCCTCAAAAATTTACTGTGAACATTAAAAAGTCAGCCACAATTGGGGTATTTCCAACGTGACATTGAGTTAAGCTATAATTCTCATTTTGCCTTGCTAACTAAAGTTGACTCTATCCCAATAGGAAAGAAATTTACACCCGTTTCCCAGTCCTGAGTTCATATCCATCCATATTTGGAGTTTGGTAGTTCATGGAATTTGAAGAGGTAATAAGAAGGATTTCCTGCCGAGACCGGTTTGGCTCAATGGATAGAGCATCGGCCTGTGGACTGAAAGGTCCCGGGTTTGATTCTGGTCAAGGGCATGTACCTTGGTTGCAGGCACATCCCCAGTAGGGGGTGTGCAAGAGGCAGCTGATCGATGATTCTCTCTCATCAATGTTTCTAACTCTCTATCCCTCTCTCTCCCTCTCTGTAAAAAATCAATAAAACATATTTTAAAAAGAAGAAGAAGAAGAAGAAGAAGAAGAAGAAGAAGAAGAAGAAGAAGGATATCCTCCTCTTAAAATCATCTTTCTGGGGGGGAAAACTTATTTTAGATATCTCTCTATATACTTGATGCATTTATGATGCCATTCCTTAATCATAAATTTCAAAGAAGTGAAATTGTCATATCAAAGGATGAGAAACTTGAAATTTTGATGCATAATTTGAAATTTCTCTTGGAAATGTTTATCCCAATCCACACAATCAGATCTGGTGTGTAACAATGCCCTTACTGTACCAGACACTGCCAATCTCTTATGTTTTCAATCTAGCAGAAAAAAATTTACGTATCAACCTCAAATTTGCATTTCTTGAACTGCTAGTAAGTTTTTTAAATTTTTCCTAAATTGATTTACTTATTTACTTTTCCTGTTTCGTTGATATATAATTGACATGTAATATTGTATACATTTAAGGTGTGCAATAGCACGATTTCCTGTATGTATATATTACAAAGTGACCATCACAAACTTGGTTTAAAGTCCCACTGCCTTAAATTAGAGTTTCAGTTTTCAGAACTATCCATGTTCAGTCTTAAGGGGGAAATATGTTGTTTTATTTTGTTTTGGTTTGTCTGAGAAACCAGAGAGCAGTTCTGCGGACTGGAACAGAGTCCTGAGGCGAGACTGCCTCCCTTTTGGTATTTGCCATGAACACTGGAGCATTCGGATCACAGTCACAGAGCCTCCATCACGAACTTCCCTCTGAGACCGAGGTTGACTAGATGGACGGACGGTGTTATTAACAGTCCTCAGTCAAAGTCAGCGCTGACGGGCCCCGATGAGGACTCAGGGGAAAGCTTACACACACAGTGCCCCATTTCACTGTGTGGCATAAACCAGCATTTCATCTTCAGAACCACCACATCTCTGGCGACTGAACGTGTGTGCGGCGGGCGCAAGCTGCCTCGCCCAGTTCTAAAAGCCAATGCCAAAAACCCAGTAAAATGCAGGGAGGCAGGGCTGGTCTACTCCAGGAGGAGTGGCTAATTCTTCATCCTTAAGGGGTGAGGACAAAGTTTAGAGCTCTTGGAATATGCACTGTCTCCAAAGCATGAACCATTTATTATCTGTTTTCCAAACAAAGCAATAATTAAATCACTCCAGATAACTAATACCGTGTTTTCAGGAGCTCTGAGTGACGATCAGCTAATATTTGTACAGTTGACCTTAAAAAATGACAGTTAAGAAGCTCTTGGAGAGGTGCCCAGAAAGGCACCAGTTTTCAAAGGATTGAGCAATGCTGTGGGGAACGGAACCTTCAGAATTCTTCAAAAAGTACATTTGCAGTTTTGTAAATGACTGTGCTGGAGTGAGTGTGGCATTAGTCTCTGACGGAATAATTACAGTTTAATTGTATGGCAATTATGTGTTCAATAGTAATGGAGGGGAAATCCGGTACCCAGTCAGCTGCCACCACCACAAAATGTAGACTTTATAATCCCTACGGCTGCTTTCTGGTGGCCGCTTGCATCTTTCTGTTGTATCTTCACATTTACAGAGATGGTGAGAATTCTCCCCAACGCTTTTCGACACACAAATACCCCAAAGAAACAGCCACTGTCTATCCAAAGCTCAGCTAGAGGCTATTTGACAAAATGTTCTGAAAGCGTATTTAGGAAAATATTCCCCATTGTGCAATCAGCTCCCACGGGATAATGAAGTCTCCAGAGGAAAAAGAAAGCCTTTTGCAGGGGGCTGAGCGGGTGCAGGAGCTTCATCCAAGATTCTCCTCTGATGGCCTGTTCAGAACTGTTCTGCTTTCTTTCTGCCCTAAATGTGAAATAAGTCAGGCTGGGAACCACAACTAGTATTAACAAGCAATGAACCGATCCCTCATCCCAAAAATTCGAGTGTTGTTTTCTCCCCCATTTTACACTTCTCATCCCCCCACCTCGTTCACTTAGACATCTGTTGTCTGGCCTCTGAAAGGCCTGGATTGGCAGAGAGGAGGAATCTCTCCAGTGAAATGCTGGAAAATGTATAACAAACCTGCCGCCTGGGAAAAAAGTGTATGCCAATTTCTGTGGTGTAAATACTCCCACCATGGCTGATTTCAAGCAACATGATTCCACTCAATGCACAGTTGAAAGAAATGCACGAAATTTGCCTTCACAATCCTCTCTCTCATTTCAGGATTATTTGAGACTAAATTAAAGACTTTATATCCCCCTAAATATTTCAGATCACACTGTGCATGTATTTTAAGAACAGACAGACATATCGATAGCATTTTTCAATTTCATTGGGGAACAAGATATTAGTCTTTTTTTCCCAGAATCCAAAACCCATATCTGTATTTTAGGAACCCCTAACCCCTACCTCCTGAAACTTGGTAGGAAGCAGAACCGGAAATGCCAGAGCCTCTCTTTCCCAGCATCCCTTGCAGGTAGGGCATGGTCATGTGACCAGGTTCCACCTATTAGGTGCCCACTTCATCTTTTGACTTGGGAGTTGTTGACACACATCACCTAGCATTGTAGGCTAATGGTGGCTGTGGTGGCTAATGGTACAGCCCGGCCTCCCATCTCCTGCCGATTTCCGATTTCCCAGCTTAGTTCCAGTAGCTGCTCCAATGCCTTTCCATGAACTCTTTCCTTCTAGCTAAATCGTCGGAGCTGTCCCCAGCTGCCGGGGCACTGACTGTGGGGGTTTCATGCTTCCACACAAGTGTCTCACCACACAGAGAACATATGGAGTCACTGTCACAGTAAATGTAGAACCAGGACCAGAACACTTTCTCCTTTCTCACTCCGTCTGGATATGACAGAGGGCAGCACTGTCCCAGAGTCCGGCTTCCTGGCTCCTGCCTCGGCCCCACATCTCCTGACGGAGCTATAGGACCTAAGACAGGCCTCCCTCCTCGGGGCCTCAGTTTCCCTGCCTCTTTAGCAGGTACCCAGTACGGGTGGTGCTCAGAGGATGGCTGTGGAGAGGAGAGATGCCTGGGATGTATCTCTGATACGGTCGGTGTCCAAGGAGGGCTCTGTTCCTGCTTCACAGCAGCCTCTCACCCACGGCAACCTCTCAACCCCCAAACATTGGAGATAAACTGTATGTTTATCTGTTACCACAAGTTGTATTTTACAAAGGCAATTTTCAAGGTGTTGCAATCGGGGCATGGACTCCAAAGACACTCACATTCTCTGGGCATGGGTATAACCTGGTGAAGAGCCCCTCGTGCAAGGAATCAACAGGTCTGGGTAGGAGGCAGCCAGGTCTGGGTAGGAGTCACTCAGGCCTGGATAGGAGTTAGCCAAGTCTGGGTTGGAGTCAACCAGGTCTGGGTAGGAGTTAACTAGGTCTGGGTAGGAGTTAACCTGGTTTGGGTAAGAATCAACCAGGTCTGGGTAGAAGTTAATCTGGTCTGAATAGGAATCAACCAGGCCTGGGTAGGAGTTAATCTGGTCTGGGTAGGAATCAACCAGGCCTGGGTAGGAGTTAATCTGGTCTGGACAGGCTAACTACACCAAGATGTAGCTTAAATTGCCCCCCATCTGTCCTCCCCCAGTGGGGGCAATGACCTTTCGGCAGGACTGTTAACTCTGCCTGTCACAGGCTTTGAGAGTGGACGTGACTTGGTCTTATGCAGCAGAGCTGATACTGGGTCAGGGGCCTCTAGGTTTGAAAGTCTGACCATTTCATCGATGGCAGAGGACAGTTAGCAGGACACCGG